TACAACAGCTACTATCTTTGCAGACTTTCGTGAATGTAGGAATTTTCAATTTTTGTTCACATGGAATGATATGTAGCACCAACTTTTTCTGTGTTGATTGTCGAAATGTAATAGTTTAAATGGGCGGATAATTTATTAAGGTTGTTGTGTGTTTACTGGGCACGATTGAGAACCGCTAAGCCTAAAATAATTTATTTGTTCCATTGACTTGACATCTCCTAAGCAAGTCTTTATAGGATTAGCGCTCCCTGAATATGGCAATGAAATGAGATACGTGTTGTAAATCATCACAGAATACTCACAGGACTAATTTACTATCCTTTGAGGGAACAAGAGGCTTTGCGCTTCCATCAAGCCCTTTCGTAAAATCCACTTCAAGGCTCGAAATTCGTGATAGACCAGTATCACACTGCCGAAAATTCTAAAATAATCTAACATTGTTCAATGACACTATTAAGTTCGACGTAGGTTCCCTTGACAGATCGCATGCTTGACATTTCCGAGGAGTATGGTACCGATTTGCACTGAGTTCATGCTGCTGTATAAAGGTGGTGAATAACTTCCTCGCTCTCTGATTCTTGCGATTAGTACTCAAATCAGACTCCTTGACTTTTTCTTCACTGGGAAGCTTGTTTGATGATGTCTATAATACTAGTAGGTGGGAAATAAAGCAGAAACAACCTCATAACCCATGAAATTTTGACTAGTTTCTTGTAGTGCCTTCTCTGCCGCACAGAACGATCCTGCTCGAACTTCGTCGTATAACGAATTTATAAACTGTCCATTGTTTTCTTTAATGGTCGTCAAATTCCATTAAGTTTTTGTCTAAAGTCTCTCCAAAAATAAAGTATCTGCAAATCATTTTGTAGGAGCTTCAACCTTTTTTCCTTATACTTGACATTTTTGTTTCCCTAACGTAAGTTGATAATTCTAAGTACTCGGGATGACCTGAAGACTAGTTAAAGATAAATAACTGCGCTCATTTCGTTAGAAATATGTTGTGAATTAAATCTTGTACATTATCTCGGAAACTTTGCCTAATATGAACTGCTCATAAACCTCCCCTACGATAATATAAAAGCTGTAATAATCAATTAAGAATTATAGATGCAGAATAGTGCAATCCACTTAGGATTTATCAATTAAAATAGACCTTAATGGTTGATAAAATACTTACAAGCTCAACATGGCTTGTATACTACGAAACTGGAGCTACTATCCCATATCTGCCAGTGTTAACTCCATTTTATTAATATTTTCAGTTCGAGTCAGCATGTAAGCGCTTTGCACAGATTGAGTTTGTCCATTTTATGCTGACAAATCTCAGGTTTCTAACGCACTTTAATTGATCTTGCGATAAGGACTATTTTTGGAATAGGGTAACTTCTAAACCCCTGGGGTACTCCCAAAAGAAGTTTACCATCCGAAAGAACCTTGGCTTTTATTTTATAAGCCTGTCTCAGTAAGTTTCATCGGAGGAAAACTAAGTATAAGATGGCTAATAAGATAAAAGCTTACAATAAATGTAAGATTGGGAATAAGATTAATGCAAAAATTACGTGCATTTTATATAACCTTGCCAAGATTGCTGGTGATGATAAAATCAGAACTTTTGTTCCCCTGGATACATGGAATTAGTGTTTTATGGATGTTTCCATGTGAATGTTTCTATTTACTCTCCAGGTTTCTATTTTTATCTCCAAAAAGTCACGCCGCAATCAGTGCTGCATTGACCTCATCCCAGAAATATTAATAACCGACTGCTTGTTACGAACTTTTTGAGATGTCAATCCCTCTGGTGACCTGATTTTGGAGTTTAATTGCTGTCTTCAGGGTAAACGGAAATTTCTACGACAGCTGATTCATTTTTGGTCACCAAACACCCCACAATTAAATATTTCTTTCGGCAGTTTACAAGCTGAGAAATCCGTCGGATGGTCCTTAAGGCCTTTTACTACGTTGATACTAAGACATCTTCATTACTAATAAACACCTTTCCGGCCTTGTTCTTAAATTGCAGTCTGCTTTGACATTTTTAACGAACGTATTTTTTTGTTCACGTTAAGTATTCTATCCCATGTGTACTTGCAAGTTAGTTGAAAGAATAAAAATTTTTTTCAATCCTGTTAATACTATTATTTTCCGGAGATGAATATTCGATAAGGATGTGTGAAGTAGGACAAAATTATGTCAATGTAATATTTATCCTCTGAAAAAATGAACATTTTTCTCCATCTCTCAAGGCGTTAAAGAAAGGCTCTGTTTTGGTTAAAAATTGTTAAAACATTTCATTTTTAGAAATAAAAAGAGCAGGACTTAAAGACTATATCAAATTTGCTACCTCTTATATTCACATGCTCTTGTTTTATTTTTTTATCTGCACACGATGCACTAAAAGTTCTGGCCAGGAAGATTGCCAATTGACGGGATAACTCGTTCTTCTCAGGATGGCGAGATAGGCTGTGAAGGCCACCTAACGTTACCTCTATGGCATTCCTATTCAGGTAGAAGCCGATCCAACCACTTCTCGTTTCTGGGAATGCCTGGTCCGTCGTGCTGGGACCAGGTCGTTCTTGGCACGAGTAAACATGTAGTATAGACTTACCATCAGGGCAGTACAAGATTGCTTCGAACTGCTCCGAACTGATGTGATATCTGAGGGTTGTGCGAAAGTGACCGAATCTATTTCAAGGACAACCTCGCACGACGAGGCTAGACTCACATT